TTGTACGATACACACAGCACAAGGAGATACAAATGGAGCACGAGTTAATTAACTGAATACGAGAAGCTGCTTGATAAGAGTGGATAATAAGGAGATTACTCACGCACTAGCTTGTTTGGAGTTAACCATTCAAATGTTTGGTGTTGTATGGAGAATTTATGTAAACACAAAACCCCGCAGAAATCGAGGTTATGAGATTAGGTTGACATTTTGTCAACAAATCTTGTTGAATTTACCGTTTATCCTTGTCTATCTTATGTCTGTCAGTCTGTATAATTCCATGGTTACCGGAGTTTTAAATAATTACGAAGCAACAAGTATTTGCGCAATGTTAATTAGCCAGATTACCTTGAAAAACATTGCTGCCGTATTTCTGATATAGTTTTTTGCAAATTTCTCAGTTTTTAATAACAATTAATTTATTTTACTATTTTTTCTGTACTCCTATAACAGCGCTAGACAACACCTCCAGAGGAATGACGCCAATTTTGAATCACCCTGTATATGTGATTTGACCGGCCTTGGAAGCCTTGATAGTCTGATAAAAAAATAGTTTTTCTGAGAAGCAAACAGTTTTTTTCTGTAACAATGCAAATTAATTTCGTTTGGTAGTGAATAATAAGTTTTATAACAGAAAATTTTTTCTGTCTCATTCAATTCTTATGGATTAAACAGAAAGAAATTTGATATTCCATCATTGACTGCTTATGACTCCCTTTAACCGCTTTCATTTGCCTTTTCCTTTAGTATTGGGGTAAATTCATCACTAGAAAATATCACATGCTGCATTTAAGCGTTTACTAATTTCCAAGATTTTGCTTAAATCAAGTTAATATTCTAATAATAATCAAGATCTAAGTATTAGAACGTTTGAAAAAGAAAATAATTTTCAGGGTGGAATATATTCAGCTTGCAATGGAATATAAACCTTTAAATCTTGGACAAGGATTTCCCGACTATCCGCCCCCTGAATATATCACTGATGCTCTAATGCAGGTAGCATCAGATGGAAATTTACATCAATATACTAGAGGTTATGTAAGTACAATAAACTTTGAATATAAAACTAACTTTAGTTTTATATTCAAAGATAAGAAACATTTCTAATTTCCATATCTCCAGTTTACGAATTGTTGGGTTTTGTTTTGAAAATTATTGAATTTTTACACCGTTTCAATTCCTATACACAGGTTCTCATACTCTTGGGATATAAATTTGACAGTTTTCAAATCGTGTTAAAATTATATGTCTTCAAGGGAACTCGATGGTAATGAATAAAGTATGTTATATTTTTCTGGCTTTCTAAAAGTCTCACTGCCTTAATAACATACAGTGTGATATATTGCATTACTAGGAGAAAACGAAATATTTTAAACTAATAGGTACTTTATGTCTATTAGGGTCGTTTGCACCATTTTATATTAAAGCCAAGCAGCTTACAGAAACCAACCTTAAAAATTAAGCTCGGCTTTAAAGTAAACGGCTTGCACCGTACCAATCTGTTGTGGGCTTTGTTAAGCCGGTGTCAAGCAGATCTGTTTGCCATATGTGGAATTATGACCGTTCGCTGCCATGATACAATGAATACATGTATTCATTCTATCTATCTTTACATTAGAATTTTTTCGATTGAGAAGATAGATTGAGAGATCAGAAACCTCAGTTTGGAACACGTTTAAGACAAGATTCCGAAATTGTACAATTTAGGAACCATGCGTTTAGAGTGTTTTCCAACTCAACGTTCATTTTTTAAATACATCTGTTTTTTTAACAATTTTTTATGAAAGAATTTTATATAGGTTTTGAAATTTTATTTTGTACTGATAGACTAAAATTTTAACGCAAATTATCGAAATAATTAATGAAATGTTGCAGTGCAGTGTTGCGGTGATTTTGAATATTATTTATGGTTTCATTTTGTAATTGCAATTGAATTGAATTGAGAGGTGGTTTTGAAGAACCCAAATACTGATTATTTCTGTTATATATCGTCTTTGGAAATCGAAATTCGATTATCTCAGATATATCTAGATCGTCTTCAAATATGTCAAAACAAGTTTCGATATCCATTGTTTTTGTTTTTTATTTGTTATCGTAATTTTCAATTTTGTTAACTATCGCCACATGTATGAGGAAGGAAAACGAAGGTTAGAATTTACGGCTTAACACCATAAACCACCAAAGTTGACAGCCGAGCTTTGAATGTCGCCTGGTTTATAATGTGGTGCAAGCCAATTTTATTTTAAAGCTGAGCTTGATAGCAAAGCGAAGCTGATTTCAACGGTGCAAACGGGCCTTAAGTATTAGACCTTGATGCAAACTTTGCTCAGAAGTAATTAAGTATAGGTTTAATGTTTGACATTTGCTTGAAGATGTTCGACATTTTCATATAAAATACGGTCGGAATAGTGTTTTATACTTCGTCAACTGGAAAGAAAATGAAAAATTGGACAAAATTGGATCAGTTTTAGATGCTAAACACGTTTTGGTCGTCCAAAGCCAAACCGTTAAAATTTAAATGTGAAATCAGTGCTCAGAGTTTTAATGAAAATCTCAGAACTGCAAATCGGGATCGTGGATAACAATTACAAATTTCAGAAACCTATAAGAACTTTTTGATTGGAAAAAAAATTAAATTAAAATAGATCTTGATATTTTAGTCTGCTAAAAATGAGTTTTCTATTTTCCCAGTTCAAATCTTGCGTTGATTTGCGACACCCTTTATTAGCTATATGTTAAAGTCATGGATAAAATTGAATCTTGTATGAAAGTGACATGTAATCTTGTATGTAGTGAGATGTAAATGCACTAAAGCGTCTGTAGAAGTTAGACCAGAGACTTTAAATGAATATCCAAAAATGTTTTATTTTAGATGTTCCATTCTGATAAAATCAGGGGTTTTTTAATTAATTTTCTACTTATGCGAACATATTAACATTAATTACCGTAACGGGTCGTGTCAAAGTTGTTGCTAATACAAAATTTACTAGAACATTTAATACAACTTCTATTATGGCGTTCCTCAATGAGAATGCGTTATGCAGAATATGAATTAAAAATACACTTAAATGTCTTCAATAAACATACGTATGTAGCATATAAACTTGTCGGTTATCATAATTTTATTGCACTTATGACCTCTTTTAATATTTGTTCCAGTCTCATAGGAGAATACGTCATATCCACTGTCTTTGGCAATCTCATATGAGCATGAATCAGCTTTTTTAATAATTGTTATGAAGGTTCCAGTTTTATCAAAACAAAAAAATTTTGGTAGTACGAGTATTATAAGTAGAGTTGCTACAGAAAAGTCATAGAAAGTGTTGGTGTTCTCTTAATTTTGGAGAAAACGATCTACATACTCGTACATACTAGCTTAAAGTCCAAAGACTTATTTGATGTGTTTTTCGAGAATAGTGGAAGTAATCAATCACATTTGTTAGGAATTGATGGCAGCCGTTGATTTAACAACTCAGTTTACAGGGTGGCACATCGAATCCCGACATAATCATTTTCGGGTATTTTGAAATTTATATTCGAAAAATAATCAGACACCTAAACTTTATGTGAGACACATTACGCACGTGTGGGCTCTCTTTTCATATCAACGCTTTAGACGGGTGAGTTAAACCCCTAAAAGTTTAACTGGAAGCAGTTTGGTTTTTGAAACAGACATGGGACTGTAGAGCAAATTAGTAGAATCGTAAAACAAATCAACAACGACGGTACTGCTCCTCAACATTTCTAGACATGGGACAAGCGTTCGATAAAGTCTGGGATATCGGTTTATGCTACAAGCTGAAGAAATTCCTGCCTCATCTATTCTACCTACTGTTCACTGCGGATCTGCCAACCACCGTGCTAACAACAGTAGCAACTTTCGCTGACGACACAGCAGTACTAGCCTCACACAATTGTCCCAGAAAAGCATCGAATAACTTGCAATTACATTTAAATAAAATCCAAACATGACTACGAAAATGGAAAGTCAAAGCCAATGCAAGTAAATCAGTACACGTTACCTTTACACTGAGAAGAGAGGATTGTCCACCGGTTGTCCTGAGCAACTGCTCGCTAACACAACGAGACAGTGCAAAATATCTTGGGCTGCACTTGGATAGAAGACTAACATGGCAAAAACACATCTTCTCTAAAAGAAAACAACTTGGCCTTAAACTGCAACAGCTGTACTGGATTATCGGCAGGAGATCGCAGCTAAACCTTGAGAACAAACTACTGGTATACAAAAACATTATAAAACCGATTTGGACGTACGGAATACAGTTGTGGGGAACTGCTAACAGTTCCAACTTGGAAATACTTCAGCGTTTCCAGAATAAAGTCCTACGCATGATGACCAACGCGCCATGGTACGTTCCGAACCAAATTATAGAAAATGGCCTGCAAATGCCATTGATCAAAAATGAAGTGAAACGCTTTAGTGAAAAGCATAAAGACATAATCAGAGTGCACCCGAATGTACTTGCTTCCGATTTGTTTGACACAACTGATGAAATGTGCCGGCTCAAACGGTTCAAGCCGACGGACCTAATTGATAGGTTTAATTCTTAGTACATGTCGACAAAATAGAAAGAGAGATTTTCGCTGGAGAATCATCTCTACATGTCATTACTTTTAAGTCACAAAGACTACTTATTGTTCTGTAAAACAGATTGTATAGGTCCCATGGGGTCAATAAAAAAACAGTTTTAGAGAAATTCGAAAATACACGGTTAAACAAATGTGATTAAATTGTCAACAAGTGAAATGTTTAGTTCAAATTGTAATTTAAATAAAATGGTCAGTGTTACTATTGATTTTAAATAGACCGGCTAAAGTTTATCTGTACCGGAGTGCTATTTGTTATTACTTTCTTAAGGTACATTGTAGAGCGAATTGCAAAGTTCCTACTAACTAGACGAGAACATAAACGTACATTTCCATTTATAAAAGAGCCTACCGCAACTACGCAAATTTTAACACAAATAGCTACAGACCCAACTTTCAGCTCGATGAAATTATCTACAAAGTGCACCAGTTGACTGAAGATTTGATCGGAGGAAAGAATTTTGCAAACTTATGACTGCACGAATAACTGTTAACGAAAACTTTCTCCTCAACATCTGTTTTTCGGACAAGTATACATTTTTTCAAAATTTTACTGTACTCATGATACTAACAGCATTTTTCCGGCTTTCACTCAAATCTCCCAAAATGTAAGCGTTCAATGGACATGTGCTTTTAGGGGACCCCTTTGGTTGAATCAATCTTTCTTTAAAAATATTTAGAATTACCGCAGTAAACTGTTAATCTCTTAACGGATTCGTAGACGTTCTGTGTAAAACCCTCCGTAATTGAAAAAATAAAATACTCTTTTTTCAAATTCAAAATATATTCATATATTTATACATAGGTGCACAAAATGAACAAAACCATTAATAACAAAGAACAAACGCATTTGAACAGGATTTTCACTTAAATACCAAAACATAATAATGAAAATTACTGAAAATCAGTGTGACTTCTGCTGTTGCCTTTCAGAGACCAGTTTAGAACTACGCGGCTTTACGTTGGAAAGTGCTACTGTCATGTCATTTTCGCAACAAAACCTGTTCTTTTTCTTCGTTTTTTCGTTCTCTCTTGTAGGGAAGTCTCCGTCGATAAACTTTGCAGGGTCATCTAAGTGCGTGACAATTGCCCCCGAATATAGAAATGTCTCCGATTACAGATACATATGCGATTTTACTTACACAGTCGTCTAACAGGGTTAAGTTATCGTCCTCTATTCGTTGTTCACTTGCGGAAAATCGAAGATCATCACCTAGTTCAGCAAAAGTTTTGTCAAGACGAATTGTTTGAAGAACTAGATAAATTTTTACAAGAACCAATTTTGTAGTATCTCTAAGTATCTTAATTGTAAATAAAGCTTCTTTATTTATCCCCAGGTATAATCTTGGATTATTTTCAATTTTGATAAAAGTGTGCTTCAATGCAAGTTGCCTGTGTTCCTCATTGGTATCATTGTTATTGAATTTTGAGCTGTTTTCTGAATTTGAAATGAGTGAACTCTCAGACAAACTACCTGATAATTCTGATACGTTCTCTGATATTTCACTCGTTAAACTTGACTCTGATGAGAGTCTAACTTTTTGGTATCCGTCTTTAATTTTATGGGAGATATTGCAATACTAGTAGTTGAGCACTTAATAAGCGAACAACTCTGACAAACTGTAGCTGTGCGAATGTTACATTGAGGTGACTTGCTTCTATACTTCGATCTTAAGTTTACTTGTATGGCTACTGATGTTCCACTACAAGCAAAGTTTTCGGTTCTTCTAACATCTTTTACTCGTTCCTGTTCGTGAAATGTGTCCTCTTCAGATTTTACGTCAATCGTTTTAGACGTACAGAACTTACATCGAAATGAATCTCACAGGCTCAAGTTACTTTTTGCAGAAAGATCGGTGCAGTTTCGCCGCGCTGCTTTCAATCCCAATTTCCGTTTCTTTTCGTTGATAGTAGTACTTATACACTGTGGCGGCCCCATACAGTACTTATAAGCCATTTTCCTTTCAATAATTGAGAAACAAGTAATCCAACACACAATATTCACATTAGAGCATAGAAACACGTATAGGCGCTGAGTGTGGCGGGGTAGAATCCTGCTTCGTGACGTCACATTACGATCAGCCAAAGTTCGTCGTTTCGGCGCGCTTTGTGTAAGTTTAAATTTTGATTGCTGATAGATTTGGTACAACTAGCGAAAATGTGAAAAACATTGTAGGGCCCTTATTTGTTCGTCATTAATCAATTTTATGAGAAAAAAATGTGCAATGACCCCTTTGGCGCAGAACAATTTTGACCGATGTATGGCTTCCCCAAAAAAGGTAAACTTGATGCACTTTCGATATTGTTGCACATTTTGCGTTTTGAAGAGTACAATTATTAAAGTTAGTTATTTATTATTCTTTAATTTAGTTATTAAATTTTTGGAATAGCACATTTTTATAACAATAAGTGAGTTTCGCAAGGTTTTTCGCAATTTATAATGTATTACTACTGAATTACACACTTACTTTAAAATATCCCTCAGACATATTACTTATTTCACCTTGCAGAGATAATATTTTCTAGAAATATATTCAACATTTTTTCTAACCTTTTCCTGTACTGCCCATTTAGCCCCAATAGTTCGTTTCAAAAAATGACATCTAATGCATAGAGAAATATTTAAAATATATTGATGATGTGTGTAAGTTTTCTCATTTTCTTAATTGCCATATGCCTACTTGAAAGTACTTCTCGATCTCAGCTTGTAGCTAATAATTAAATGAAACATTTTCTTCAGTCTTCTACTTTCACGTTTTTTTACGTTAGCGACATCTTCTATTGCCCGATGATTAATCTGCTCAATGTTTTCAACCTTCAAAAAACCAACCGTTTAACTATTTTAGGGCCATCCGAGACTGGTACAAGCGATAGCAAAATTATATTCAAAGCTGATAGGTAGAGAGCTTAATCCACAAACGGAAGTTTTGACTACTCTTGGTGCATATGAAGCTCTTTATGCTGCTATTACAGGTATGTACTTGCTTAATGCAAAAGACAAATAAGTTGTTATATTCGCTCGCGTGGAAAAAGCTGATATTAAATTAGATAATTTTAGATTACAATTGTCTATTGTTGATTTAAAATAATTTACCCAATTGAGTTCTTCTGATAGTTCTTTCGTTTTTTTTATTAAAAATGTTAATTTAATTTAAATATAAATTTCTATTGTATTCTGTTATTTTTCATTTTGTTCCAATAACTAACTTTTGCCATCGTTCTGGCGTTGCATCATGCCACCATCAAAAAATATTTGATTTTTGCTGGCAACACTGATCCGTGTTATGTGTGACATCTTCAGCTGACGAAGAGGTTTTTTCGTCGAAAATATGTAGTAGTGATCGGAATAAGTAATAATCAGCAGGAGCCAGATCTGGAGAATATGGTGGATCTGACGGCATAACCCATTGCAGCATTGGCCGTTTCCACAAACTTGCATGGGATCTCGTTTATATCGGTTGAACGAATCTGGTCTTTTTCAACAAAATAAACGATCTTTTTCAAACAAATAGCATCACTTTTTCTAATGAACCTTAGATTTCAACGTGACTTGAACCTGGTCATGTTTTTTGCTCTATTATCTCCATGTGTGTGTGAGATTGATGTAGAGAACATATTTTTCGTTCCCAGTGGTAATGCGCTTCAAAAATTATTCATTATCTTAACGTCAATTCATGAATCAGGTTTCTTTCCATAAGAACATTAACAACATGAACAAGTTTTGACATAAACTTGATATCAATTAAGGCCTTTAATGTATTTTCATTAACTTTAATTGACCTTCCAGAACATAAAGCATATTCAATATCAAATTGCAGAGTCAACATTTTGGAAACCATCTTCTGCATACACATCGTATAATTTATTTCATATGCGAACGACATTTTTTCTATTTCTATAGTAAAAATGTAGATAATAGTCAAATTCAGAAAACTATAAAATAATGTTTTTTGCTTTCCATTTTTCAAAAGGGTACCGATAAAAATTACAGCATTAAATCAATCAAATGATGAAGCGACTTGTGTGAATGTGGCTATGAGAAAATATAATTAAATTTTCTGTAAGGAAATAACGAAAATACTTTCCAAACAACTTCATATTTCTACAGGTTGTAAAATTCAAATATATTTCAGGACATGTAGATGTTGGTGATGAAGTTATTATTATTGAACCATTTTTCGATTGTTACGAACCTATGGTTAGATACGCTGGAGGAATTCCGAGATTTATAGCTCTGAAACCTGTAAGTATATGATAATGCACATTCCATTTTTCTTCAACGAATTTTGCGCAAAAGCTTAAAACAATTTTATAAATAATTCGCTTTTTTTTAAATAATGTTTTAGGAATGTAATATACAAGTGTTTGGAGAAATAATGATGAAGAAAGTGTTCATAGAAAATTTTAACAGACAATTATTTATGTCAATAACTGTATTAACTAAAGGATCAAGTCGCAGAACATGTGTATTTTTTGAAGGGGCATAGTCACTGTAGCCAGACTGCGCATAATAATGCGAGCTCTACGATAAAAAATAGTAATTTGTTGGAATATTTATACAAATTTTCGCCTGCATGAATGACATTTTATGGTAAAATATAAATATATTTTCAAAAATTCCGTTACAAAAAATCTAGATGTAATTATGCAATGCGTATGAATGACACTTCACAAATATTCCACCTACTTACAGGGTGACAATAAAAAAATGACCTGCAGCAAAAACTTCATAAAAACTTTAATTTGCAATAAATACAAAATTTATCAACAAAGAACAATAAACAACTATCTTGAGTACAATATACATACAAAATTCGGGTTCAAATTGCGACTAATTGTGCGTCTCGGCATAGCACCAAACGCTGCCAAAAATGTTCTCCGCGCCACGCACTTCTTCCGGCGACAATGCGTCCCATTCCTGACTCAGCGACTTCAAGGTTTTGTGGCTTATAGCACAGGATCTGATCTCCAAAATAGACCACACAATGTAGTCCATCGGATTTAGATTTGGTGAGTCGGGCGGTCATTCCGCCGACGAGATGAAATCCGGAAAATGGGCCCGGCCCCACTTTTCAAGTGAATAAATATTCATGTCAGATTCGTGACAATTTGGTTTTTATTTTTTTATTGTCACCCGATACAAAATTGTTCAAATTATCGAATAAAGTACATCACTATGTTTTTATCACACCATGGAACCAAAACTGATATTTTTAACAACGAATATTTTCAGAAAAGTACCGATGGAACAACATTGTCATCTAGTGACTTTGTGTTAGATAAGACTGAACTAGAGAGTTTATTCAATCAAAAAACCAAAGCGATAATTTTAAATACTCCAAATAATCCACTTGGAAAGGTTTTCACTCTAGAGGAACTGACATTAATTGCTAATTTGTGCAAAAAGCATAATGTTTTATGCATTTCCGACGAAGTGTACGAATGGATGGTATATGAACCAAATAAACACATTAGAATAGGTAGGTAAATTAGATCCGTTTCTTCTATAAGTTTAGTGACTTGTAGTGGAAACGTTCTTGCTACTAGTACTAGGTCATAATTAGATTTAGTGGCTGACGCCTCTGTCCCATGCATCCGTTCATACGATGGTACGATGATACGAAAGCGTTTCCTTCCTGTACTCCGTCGTACGAATTGGCAGATCTCCAACCAATAGAAACACTTTTGTATCATCGTTCTATCGTATAAACGGATGCATGAGACACAGGCTTTATTCTATATTTGATTTAGCTTTTAGTCGCATAAACGCGTTTGCTTGGTTAATGTCAGGTAATGTGAGCTTATAATATCATCTTTAACATTATCAAAAATGTATACAGAAACGACAAAAAAGCTGTAGCATTTTTTTGTTTTATATTATGAATATTTTATGAAGTTTAAAGACCCAAATAAACCTCAACATTGTTTCAAATTCACCTTAGAACACACATCAAAAGTGTGTCAATTTCACGAATTCAAAATTATTGTCTAGGTGCATTTAGTCTACATAAAAAAACAAAAACAAATCTCAGTCGCAAGTGTAGGTGACTTTTTAACATTAATATCTGTTCATATGCACATAAATCAACAAAAATAACACCAAAAAGGGATAATTTTAGCAATAATGTATTACATGATTTCAAAGCGTACACTCGTCACTCACACATGATTTTTACCAATTCTACTTCCAAAACCCCACTTCACAACATCCATTTTTGTGGTTTCGAAGAATTAGTGTTTGACTTTGCACATTTCTATTCCGTTGTTTCTATCAACATTTGCTTGTAATAAACAATAAACTGTTTCTGCATCTAGTATGTAGACGATTTTACCGATTTTGTTGGTTAAATTTACAGTTCCTTTAAAGATAAAGCCCGTGTCCCATGCATCCGTTTGTACGATGATCCCTGTGTATTCCATTAATTCCAGAAGAATCTTGGGAGGGGAGGTACGACACATGACCTGGTCTGGTAGTCAGTCATCCCTGGCTGCAGCTCGTCGATTTTCCCAAGCAAGTGCCGCAACCTTGAACGACTTGTGTGGTTCCTTCCTATACGGAATTTCCCACATACAGCCGCCCAGGTGCTGGCTTGTGTGTTGTGTGTGCTGCCACCCGACCGCTGTCGCTTTTGCGTCCCGGTCATGGCAGCTTTTTTTGGGGTGTGCTGGTTCCCCTGAGGTTCTACCTAGTGGGTAGTTACCTTGTACGATAATACGATGGTACGAAAGTGTTTCTATTGGTTGGAGATCTGTCAATTCGTCCGTCGTCGTACCAAGTTAAAAAAAATTTAACTTTATCGATGGTCGTATGGTTTTTAACCTCACAACTAAACTTTTACGACAAAATAGGTTTAACAAAGTGCTTCTGTTTTCATTATTATGGATTAGGCACAACGAAGGGAGCTAAATTACCTACACGAAGATTTTGGGTTCTACACCATATTTCATAACATAAAATAAACGAATATTTCATAACATAAGGGTTTTTTAATTAATTTGAACCGAACCCTGAGTGGTATCCGAGAATCTCATAACCGCAGTCTTGCTGTTATATCGTTTATCAGGAGATTTTTTGCTGATATTGTAGGTACTCTCAAAATATATCTATGTTCCTCCATCTGCTTGGATATCTATTGATTGAATTGAATCAACTTTTTTCCGAAACCTTATCTGGATATGAATGCAGGAACATTGACGAAAACAAACAACTAAAAATAAATTTGGTTTTATTACATGTACGACCTGGCATTTTCATAAAAAAACTGATCGTTTTTATTGCTGCTTATTTTTCAGCCGTAGAACTGAACTCGAGGTTGTCTTGGTTTGGTATGGTAAGATAAAATTGTGAATCCCGCAAGCATGGTTATCATTGACAATCCAAGGGTATCGTATACATGGGACAGCTAGAAATCGAGATCGTACGAACTTCTAAAATCTCTGACCAATCCAGGGTGATTCAAAATTGGCGTCATTCCTCTGGAGGTGTTGTCTGGCGCTGTTATAGGAGTACAGAAAAAATAGTTAAATAAATTAATTGTTATTAGAAACTAAGAAATTTGCAAAAAACTATATCAGAAATACGGCAGCAATGTTTTCAAGGTAATCTGCCTAATTAACGTTACGCAAATACCTGTTGCTTCGTAATAATTTAAAACTCCGGTAACCATGAAATTATACAGACTGACAATAAGATAGACAAGGATAAACGGTAAATTCAACTTCAATTTCTTATTATCCACTCTTATCAAGCAGCTTCTCGTATCCAGTTAATTAACCCTGCTCCATTTGTATCTCTTTGTGCTGTGGGTATCGTACAAACGTGGTAGGAATGAATCCCTCAGTATTTATTTGGTGCTTGGGAAAGTGTCAGTTATTGTGCTGGGAGTGCCCCTGGAATGCCCTGATTCGGTTATGTCCAATACGTGTCAAGGCCGGGACACATCTATCCGATCCGACTCCGATCAGAGAACCTTCCGTCGATAACCAAATAATCGGATCGGTGCGTGATCGGAAAGAAGAAGCCACACATGTTATACACGTTTCAGTTTTAGTTCCGATTTTTGGACGAGTGCAAATCACAGATTATCAAACTGTTCCTAAGACTAAGTCCAAATGTATTAATTGGCTTTACCGTTTTTCATATAAACACTCGGATGGTTTACTTTAAATATCAAAAACTGAAAGCCGAACTATATATAAGACTTGCTTTATGCAGGAAGCGGAAAGTTGTGAACTACGGCGTTGAAAGTCCAGTACCATTTTGCTCTCAGATCTTCGTCCCATTGTATGATCGGAGTCGAATCGGATAGATGTGACCCGGCCTTTACTCTGTGCCTGGAACCCGGACATCAATTGTCGTCCACTATCTTCCTGGAACCACTCTCCTCGCCGTTTGTTGGCTTGAGTTCTTTCAGGTTCTGCTATCTTACTGTAGCATTTCCCCTGAACTAATCGCATATCCGCAAATTCGTGAAAGGAAATTCAAAGTAAGCCACAGTTTGATAAATTATTGTTAAGATTGACAAGGTCTACCTGTAACTATCTGTTAATGACAAAAAATATCATTGCCGCGTCCTTTTTCATCAAAAAATTGTAAAAGATAACTTTTTTTATATAAAAAATTTTCGTAATTTGAAGCAAAGATCGTAATTTTTCTTTTTGAATGCTTAAGTATTCCAATATGCTACCAATTAAACATAGAATCATTTCAAAATACTGCTTAATAACAAAGTTGAAATTCGATCTTCAACTGTTAATATCTTTTAGAAATTTTCAATATTTTTCTCGTACTCCCCAATGGAGCCTATATCACCCCTTAAAAGGAATGACGCCAATTTTGAATCACCCTGTAGAAACACTTTCGTTCCATCGTATCATCGTATAAACGGATGCATGGGACAGAAGCTTAACTCGCGAGTTCAACTATCGATGGTGGCGCTGCGAAACGTCAAATTACTAGTTGTCGAGTGACAGCTGAGACTTGTCAGACTTTTTTATTTATTAAAGTTGATGACATTTATAACATAACACAATACATACACACTTCTCGATCTGTTTCTATCTCTTTAAAAGCTTGCAAAAGTTGATAGTACAAAGTAGAACAAAACAAATCGCAATCAGATGTAAATACCAATGTCAATAAAACAAGTGTTAAATTACTACTTAACGTGCAGTTATAATTCTAGGCACCAGGGGTCGTCTAGACTTTTGATCTCGCGAATAAACTTGATGCAATACATTTTTGAAATTGTTATATAAGATTACACGTTTTGAAGGCTACAATTTAAAAACTACTCATCTGCAATGTTGATTACTGATCTAAACATATTTTCCATACTCTGCAAGTAACCTCTAATCAATTTTCTAAAGAAGCTTTGTCGACCGCTTGATTACATGCTATTTTTATGATGATATTTTCATTTTTCTGGTTATTGCTGCATTGAACGTACAGTTTTCACATGTATGATATATGCAGCCATACTTTTAAACATTTTAGCGGATCATTCTCAATTAATCATTGACTGATTTCATAATGCTGAACGTTTTACTTAGACACCATTACACTTAACCACCTATTTACCATTTTTACCACCACGCATCCCAACAGCATATTTCGTATTTCAGTTTCAGGCTTGGTACTGATCGGATTTAATGTGATATGATTATTATTGATCATCTATTCAATTGGCATGAAACTAAACTTTAATAAAGTTTAACCTGTATAAAAATTTAATTATTATTAATTAATAGCAATTTAACTATTGTGTCGATTTTAAGCTAGTTTGTTAATGGACATATATTTAAATAATTTTATCTTTGATTATTTTAGCTACTCTTCCTGGAATGTGGGATAGAACAATTACTATTGGATCGGCAGGGAAAACATTCAGTGTCACCGGCTGGAAATTGGGTTGGGCATACGGGCCTTCAAACTTATTGTTTAATATTCAAATGATTCACCAGAATTCTGTATATACCGGATGCACTCCTATACAGGTATGATCGAAAGTTTTAACTGAATTCCCGCACAGGTTTGATCCGAACATCCAGATAATTAACAACGAAATCCAATGTGGATTTAGAAAAATGTATGCACTTTAGATGTAGATTTAGGAAAATACAACTTTTGCTATGTTCCTTTCAATGTGTGGATGAAACTGACGTAGAAGTGTACTCGATTTTTTGCATTAAAAGTAACGTTTTCATTTGTTCAAAACTACTTATTGCAAATAAGTCCGGTTAAATTGGGTTTCAGGTTCAAAAATTTGTTTTTTGCTTTTTCAGTTTCCTTTATTTATTAAACTACATGTATTACCTTCATTTGTTAGGAAGCCACGGCAATTGCTTTCGAAAAAGAATTGGGCCGTTTGGAATCTGATGAGTGTTACTTTAACTCAATAACAAAGGAATTAGAACCAAAGAAAAAATACATGGCCACATTTTTACAAGAAACTGGTTTTAAGCCTATTGTTCCGGAAGGGGGATATTTTATGATGGCAGATTGGACTCCATTAGGTAGGCATAATATTAAATGAGTCATATTTAAATACGTTTCAAGGGAAACTTAATTTCAGAGGCAAATGTGGATCTAAGCTCGGAAAGTGATCAATATAAAGACTACAGATTTACGAAGTGGATGACAAAAAATGTTGGATTACAAGGAATTCCTCCAACGGCATTTTATGGAGTTGAACACAAACCATTGGGAGAGAACTTTGTGAGATATTGCTTTATTAAGGTGAGTGCTTAATTGAGTGCTAAGTCATATGAAAAAAAGTACAGTAATTTTTTAGGAGTCATTGTCCTCGCGTACCAAGTTAAAATAGTGGTTACCTTGTAGATAATCCATTTACTAACAAGAATTCTTACTAGTGCTTCTTAGAGCGAGTTTTTGACTACTTCGCTCATTAAGGATTGCAAATTTTTCATAAGAAAACAGGCCACCACATCTTTTCAGTTCACTTGGTAAACACTTCTCATCGCGCAGAATCTGTGTACTGGCAAAAATTAATACGAGGGTCGTTTGATAAGTCAGTGAGTTTTTGATTTTCCCGAGCAGTAACTTTAAATTCAACTCTGCTCCCGACAACTATCGACTGTTAGTAGACCGCTGTGAAATTTTGAGCACGCTACGTCATTTAGTTTGTGTTTAGCAGTCAAGTTTGTACTGATCAAGCTTTATTTTTTTCGTAAAAAACCATCACCGAAACAAAGGAAAAGCTTGGGATAAACACGATAGTTACTCTGCACCATCAACTTCAATAGTTAAGGAGTGGTTACTTGATGTGGTCGTACCAGTACAAATGAAACAGAGCGTTCAGGTCGTCGAAAAGTGGTTGTTACGCCAGAATCCCTGGAACTATATTTGACGATCGGAGACCAGAAGTGCGTGAGGTGGCTGATGAGGGAATACATCGCATTTTACATGAATATTTGGATAGGAAAAAGCTATCTGCGCGATGGGTGCCGCGATTACTGACACTCTGCTATTTCAAATAGATGTTTAGCGATCTTTCGTCACAATCCCAACGAGTTTTTGCGCCGTTTCGTAACGTCTTTGTATGTTTTTTCTGCTACCATCTTTAAAGTTTTCGTTATGGCCAATCTTATGTTCCTTTCCTGGTCATTTCTTTTTCAAAAAAATGACTGAAATTTACTAATATTTTTCTTATTTTGTTTCAGTGCACTTGTATCTATACCCGATCAAACTGTCTGTCCCTACGTTCTCCTACTTTGTCCTTGTTCTAACTTATTTTCGCTTTGATCATACGATGCTCGTTGCCAGTATTGAATGAGTGCAATACTGTTATATCGCATATGAGTTCTTTATTGCTGGAAACGATGGAATCTCAGTTCTTGTTTTCCCGTTTGGTCTTATTCACGTCCACCATCTTCTTTGTCGTTTTTTTATTGTATAAGGTATTCATAGCATAGAGTCTTTTCTTTCTAGCATAGTTACTAACATGTTGCCTCTGTGATTTCTGTTGCCTAGTCCATATTTACCTGTAAATCTCTCATCTGGATCTTGTTGTTTTTCAATTATTGCATTTAAATCTCCTATGATGACATCGTAGTTGCATTTTCTTTCGTTTCGAGCCTTTGCTATTTCCTCGTATAGATTTTCGCCTTCTTCATTCTCATGTTGTTGTGATGTCGGGACGTATATTTGCATGAGTTTAATAGTACGTGTTTTACTTATTTCTATATTAATGTATGCTTTTCTGTCCAATATACCTTTGTAGTTTAATATCCTATTTTTTAAGTTATCAGGATCCCTACATCTCTTTGACTATCATTTTCGTTTCCTGAGTAAAACAGTACATTTCCAGATTTGAGGGTTCTCAGATTTTCGCCTTTCCTTCGAGTTTCTGCAAGGACTATAATATCCTATCTGATTTTATTTGCTTCGTTCTCTAGATCAATTAGCTGATCTATTAATAGTTGTATGTTGCGATATTGTGGTTAATTTTTTTCTCCTTTGCTGTTTTCTTGCCCCCCCCCGTCAGAATCCACGGGGCAACCTGACGTAGTCAGTGTAAGATTTACTACCCACCTGAGGTATTTCCGTTTTTGTTTTTAAACCTGGCATTTTGAGAAGGGGGTTTGGCCATTTTTCTTCCGCGTTGGCCAGGTGGGCTGAAAGTGGTGGGGGATATTGGGTGGGAATAGTGGGATTGGAGAGAAGTTAGGGAATATGACAGTGGTTTACCCTGGATGGGTTTTGGAGATAAACCAAGGCTCACGTGGGCAGGGGCGCTTCCCTGAAGTAGATCTATCATCTATCGGAACAATAGGTGAGTCCCTACCCGCTACCCTCCAGGTAAATAGATAGCTACAGAAAATAAAACGCTATTTTTCGTGGGTCAATGTTTTTCTCTCTCAACATGCCTCTAGAGGTGGGTGTATTGTTACAATGTATATCAATCTAACGCAGGCATCGATTACCAATTACAATATAAAAGCCAGATACCCAGCTTTAATTTGACAACTACCGAGTAATTGCATTGAATCATAGACTTACAACATTTGCGTGGCTACAATAAGGAAAGTACACACATTGGTTAAAATAAATATGATCATTGTGTGAGCAACAGTAAAGAATCCAGCAGCATCAAGAGTGGTGCTTCTTTGGTGCAGCTGCTGACTGATCGCGAGGAATCTGCTTTGCATCAACTTTCCTTCTTTAAAAGCAGATAAATGGTTAAACCGTTGACACATCTGATAACATATGGTTATACATATCCGTTTCTCATTGATCAATTGCTCTCCAAGTGCTGCCAATATAAAAATATAAACCTAAAAAATGTTATCATTGAAGTCTTAGGAGCAATGTAATTATATAGTGTTACATACCCCAGATAAAACAAAGTACAATAGTACTTCTAGTATAAATGAAGTAGTGGCATCACTGATGGCAATGACTAAAGATACAAGCCCAAACAATAGTGTAGCTGTGTAGAGAAACACGGCCATAGCAATAATAATTCCAAAAGCTCCATTAATACTATCGATACAGGTCAGAATGGGCGCTAAGCTATTTGCTGACAAATGTAAATTAGCGTTTGTAAAGGCAAATGCAATTTGAGTTTTGAAAATTAATAAAGAAATCCAAGTGAGCATTAGCTCAATTCTGGAAATTGTCACATGATAGTTCAGAAGATATAAAAATCCTTGTGTCTGTGTTAACATTATATAATTATACAAGAATCGTGTCCCACTTAACAGAAAGTATCCCAAGATGAACAATTTTGTCCATCTCCTTGATTTTCCGAACTTCATATATTTATTGTTCATATATTGCAAAATATTAAGTAAATGGCCAATTTTTTTTCCTTGGCTAATTATCTGAGTCGATATAATTATATTTGTAAGGCTTATTAATATTTGACGAGTAAAGACAATCACTAGTACCGGTAACGGCTCTTTTTCTTTTCCAAAACTACCAAGCACAAACAGTTTTCGTGCCACCATGCCACATGTAGAAGCAATTACATACCCTGAATAAAATATCTGGGTTTTTTTGTTACATATCTCTGTTGGGGGATATAAACCGAATAATAACAAAACATATTTCATATAGTTTCGCGTCATTTCAGAGTTTAAATGCAATTGAAATTTTATTTGCTATGGCTTGTTATTTACTTATAGCCTAATGCTCATATTTCCAGAGTAATCAATCATGTGTTCATCATTACTGTGATGTACTTATTTACAAATTAACGTGCTTCGATTTCTTCTTGTTTGTGTACAGTTGAATTTATTACTTTTGTCAGTGAGTATCCTTGAATACAGAATATTGAAATATATGCTGGTGTAATATTATGATGGAAAAATAGTTAGTTAAAAAAAGAAAGTTCCACATTTCCGACTTTTCATTTCTAAAAAGTCATCTTGTCCACTAAAATTATATTGTACGGAATGTGTGTTTAATTATTTGCACATCCAATTGTAAGATTGTTTTTTTGTATTACAGAGTGTCTCTTAAGTACGTAGAAATTTCTCGAGAGCATAGAGTAGAAGTCAAAATAACGGCTTGTTTCAATTCAAATGTTTGGTGTTGTATGGATTATTTATGTAAACACAAAACTCCGCAGAATTCGAGGTTATGAGAACAGGTTGACATTTCGTCAACAAATCTTGTTGAATTTACCGTATATCCTTGTCTATCTTATGGTCAGTCTGTATAATTCCATGGTTACCGGAGTTTTAAATCATTACGGAGCAACAGGTATTTGCGCAATGTTAATTAGGCAGATTACCTTGAAAAATATTGCTGCCGTATTTCTGATATAGTTTTTTTGCAAATTTCTCAGTTTTTAATAACAATTAATTTCTTTTATTATTTTTTCTGTACTCCTATAACAGCGCCAGACAATACCTCGAGAGGAATGACGCCAATTTTGAATCACCCTGTATAATAAAGATTTTTTTACAATAGCCACATTCACTAGTCGACCCAGCAGCCGTTCTGTGTTGCGCTCGTAGATTTTAATAGATTGTATTTAAAGGAATCTTTCCGGTAGGTCGATCGGTAGGGCTTTCTTGAGTCGTCGTATTGGCATGTTATCTAATAGGTGAGTAGCAAGTGGGTTTGGATGTCTTCCAATTCTGGTGTGGTATCTTGTTGATTTTTGGCTTATTTCATGGCGGATGGTAGAGACTTTCAGATCGTTGTGGATGGWGTTATTATTTACATASCATGGCGCKTTGACTATTTGTCTTAAMGTKTTGGACTRATATCTCTGCAGTATTTCGATATTACTGGTGCYAGCTGTTCCCMATAGYTCTMTACCATAGCTCCATATTGGTTTTAGTACCGTTTTGTATAATAAGATCTTGTTTTCAWGACTAAGCTTRGACCTTCTRCCTATCAACCAATGCATCTTCCTTGTTTTTATWTYCAATTAYTTTTYTTTTCKTCKGGATGTGYATYTTCCAGGTGAGTCTTCTATCCAGGTGCATCCCCAGATATCTTGCATGATTGGCAGTTGAGATAGGGGTGTTGTTGATTTTTATAGGAGGACATGATCCTCTTCTTAAAGCGTATAGCACCTGCGTGCACTTTTCCTCTTTGATATTAATTTTCCATTTGGCCATCCATTTCTCAACTTCGTTAACATGTCCTTGGAGTGTCTCAGCTGCGCTGTTTAAATCGCTATATGAACTTAGTAGTGTGTTGTGCGCAAATGTAGCTGTCAGAATGTTATCGTTTTGTGGTAGATCCGATATGAAAATTGT